TTTTTTTTTTGAACAGGAAGCAGCTACGCACGCACTAATTCTACATAGAAAGAATTTATTCAAACTACACTGAGAAATTTTCGTTTTCAAATTTGTATGGAACGTTTTACTTTTAAAAACGTTTTGGCCCAGGTTTTGCACCTACAATATTTATTTAAATTTTGAGAACGAAAATTTTCAATTAAATTTCTAAAATCCATGCTTTAGTTTTTGATACGCACATTTTCAGATCATTTTTAAAAATGATCGTTTGTTAATTGAATATGCGCATGTTGAAATTAAATCCTAAAATGGTTTTTCATCATTTTAAAAATATGATATTCAAATTTGTCTTTATTAAATCACAACAAGTCATTTGGTATATAAATACGTTGTCAAAAATATATAATACTTACATGAAAATGTTCCTGCCTTACTTCCAAGCTGGGCCTGCTAATTTTGCTTCACGCTGGTCAAATCCTGTAATTTAAAATAAGAAAGTTTTAAATTATTATTTAATAACTCATAAGGATTTATTTTTGTAAATTATTCTTACCAAAACTTTTTTTCGGTCAAGCTTCTCATAAAAATACAATCGCCGTTCAGCGTCGGCGTAAAACGGTAGGTCCTTCCTCTTTGTGTGACAACATCAAGGCGCATACCACAAAACGGAGGAGAAGCTCGGCCCAACATTAACATCCAATCTATTATTATCTTATGCATACATATATATATATTCCTTTTCCTTCTATTATGAACAAAAATTCCCTGAGGGCTTTTTATTTTACATGGCGAAGTTGAGGTGTCAAATAAGTGTCAAACAGCTCTTTCGAAGTTCGAATTTCCTTCTCCCAAATTTTCGGGGAAAATGTACTCCCTGGGAGCTAATTATTGGAGGATTTATTTCTCGGGAGAAACAAATTCCCGGAGAACAAACTCCCCGGGTGTATTCAGAATTGGGCTGTCTATTTATTGTGCCCCCTATTACAACTTTAGTTGTTTAGCCCAACCATATTTTTTCGTTGTATGGTCCAGTATGTAATTTTAGGCAGGACAACGTCTGTCGGGTGTGCTAGTTTATTATAAAGCCTCATAGCGAATGTCGTGTCGAGTGTAAGTCGTTTTTCGAGAGTCGAGTCGTATCGGAAATTGCTTGGAATGGCCTAAAGTTTTGACGCCACTTGGCAGCACTGGATAGTTTTCGCTGATTTTCGTCGTCTACTTATTTCAGCACGACAGAAGTCAAAGCCGTGTTGTCGTGTCATTTATGGCTTATGTAATGAGCAGGAAACGAACTTTTAGGGCCTAAAAACCTATAAAAAAGGCAAAATAGATTGGCTAAATAGGCAGGGAAAGGCATACATAAAAAAAATAAAAAAATACTCCGACGAACTGATAACCTCCTCCTTTTTTGGAAGTCGGTTAAAAAGGCAAAATAACGCACTAAAAAAAGACAAAAAATGAAAAATTACACTGGTTTGCAAGAAAAAAATTTCAACGGACGACACTACATATCCAATTCCTATATAGAATAGTTCGCTGATTCCAAAAATCGAGTTAATTTTTTATTCTATGGATAAGTTATCGAGATAATTTCAGGTGTAATGGCGTACGAGTAACATTTTTTTCTGCTACATAAATATTTGCGCATTTTCATATGACCACTTATTACTTCTTTATTTATCCATCGATTTTCTTCATTATCAACTTTATTTTTTATTTATTTTTTGTAACAAAACAGGCTTCAACAAAGCTTTGAATTTACTAAACGTGCGCTTAACGTGAGTTGCTATGTACATGAGGCGCCTGTTTTAAATATGGAACGTTTGAAGTGTTTATATTATCAAGAATAAGGGCTTTTTCCTAGCTACAATCACTTTTTTAAAGGAAAAAAGGCAAATATCTTAAAAAAAAGCAAAATGAAATGTGTATACATATATGGAATCAGGGAAAGCTAATTCGTGGACATCCTTAATTAAATGTACTCTATCCCTTTAGCAAAAAAAAAAAAATAGTTTCATAAAATCCGCTCCCTGATAATGAGTCTGATAAATTTCCCAAATAAAGTATTCTAAATACATGAACCAAATGCATGAAATTGTGATTATGCAGGCATTTTTAGCTACGTTTCATGAAATGATTTCGTGAAATGACAAACGCATATACCTAGTAATACTTATTTAATCAAGTTTTACAGCTTTTCATATTCTATTTTTGTTTTACCACTTTCAGTTAGCAATGCCATTGCCCTACCCGTTGACTTGCCCAAATGTAATTGTATACCCGTGAAAGAGTGCGAACCAATCGCATACTTGCTCTTGAATCACAGGCCGCAGGAAGCAGACATAATATACAAAATTGTGCAGAGTGCCGGTTGTGGTTATGCCGGTCTTGAGCCGCTTGTCTGCTGCCCCACCACTTATGCTAACCACAAAGCAACGACGCGCGTGCATGCAACAGAAATCGATACATTCGGTAGAACAGATCCCGACGAATGGGTGTGGGATAGTGCCCAATTGCCCACACGCTTTGATACATTCACAGAAAAGTTGATGACAGCCAGCTCAATGGATAGCAGATCAACCAAAGGCAGATCAAACATTTTTTACGAAGAAACGGATATATTTGATTTTAAGGATCCAAAGACGCAACGAAATTTTCCACATTCTTTCAATGAAGAATTTGTTGAATTCCATAAAAATGATGAAGATAATGGACAGCGCGGTTGTGGTAAGGATAGGCAAAAACAGTTCAAGCCTATAACGGATGTGCAATGGCATCCCATTGACGGGCATAAATCTTTTTCGCATCACCAGCGCGATCAAGGACACGGACATGTTAGCATACACGATTATGACCATTTTGATGAAGATGAATATCCTCGCATAATTTTTAGACCTTTAAATGATGGCGCTATTGTATATCCAGACGATAGACGTTTAAATCGCCCACTAAAGTTTCCGATGCAGCGACCGACGTCGACAACGACAACGACCACAAGCACGACACCTACTACAACAACAACGACCTCAACAACAAAGAAGCCGTCCATCAAACCAACGGAACAGCCCAAAGTCAACACAGCGCGTTGTGGCATACCGGCAGTCGACGCTGCAAGTGGTGAACGCGTATATCCATGGATATCACGAATAGCTTATATTAACAAAAGTGAGCGGATATTTTATTTACGCAATTTATTTTAATTCAGTGCTTGCATACATGGTAACTTCACATAATTTCATTGACCACCTTTTGCATCTTCTTGGTCAAGACTACGCCAAAGAGGAAGACGAGCGTGCATTTGAAGAGTGACCACTTGCTTTCGCTCAATTGAAATCGACCATCTCTATCCGTTAAAGAGGAAATGGAATTTGTTATTTTCGAGATAAAGGTTTCTTTTTCGCCTTCAGCACCCATTGGGGGTTCATTCTCATCCATGGTATTACCTCTCTGGGATTTCAGTATTCCTGCAGAAGAAAGAAATAATAAATTTTCCATAAGAAATATAAAAGTATACGTATGTATGGATGTTTGTAGATAGTCGGTTGGTGCGTCAAAGTCCTCAAGAAGAATACGTAAACTTTCAATTTAATGTAGAAACATTCCTCTTCTTTGCTTATGGAAACAAAGCACCAGTTTTGAATCGCTTCCTTATCGCTTCTTATATGGAAACAATGTTTTCACAATTCTTAAGTAAAGCTAACTGGAGAACTTTTTGGAAAAAAGTTTCCTCCCCATACATTCCATGGACAGTGAGGAGAAAACGATTTCCACTAATGACATCGTAATGTTTCCTTTCCTAGAGGGATGCGACTGTTTTGAAACTGTGTGAGGTGAAGTGAATACCAAATTAAAGAAAAAAATTGCTCGAGATTACATTTACAGCTGTATTCCAACATGAGCTGTGATCGATGCTGTGATTTCTACTGAGCCTCAAAGTTTGCCGCCGCAACAAATATGCCACTACAACAAACATTTTTAAGTTTTTGTGTATTTTTCTACCACTTGAAATCGAACTTTTTTGGCACATTTTGCGGTGCACTAGAAATCACAACACTGATGAGCTAAGTTTTGAGAATCTGTTATGGTCTAATTATGGCAACTTAACGTAACTTACGGCTCTCTCTTAAAAATTCTGTTAAATGGGTGTTATAATTACGGTGACCATAAATATGGATTGGATTCAAAGTGAAGGACAATTTTTCAAAAGAATATGCCTACATATATTTACGTAGTATAAAAATATCAAAAGAGTATGTATGATTCAAAATTCTTAATACATTTTAAGCTTTAAAAATGAATCACGTTCTCTTCATCGATATTAATCTTTTTTTACATGAATATTTATAAAAGTATAGTAAAAAATCTTATAATAACAGAAGCTTACACGAGAAGTGAAAATCTTTAAAATATTATTTTATAGGCAAATTTTGAGTCGTTCAAAACGAAAACAATACCCTTTTTTTGTTTTTTGGTACTTTTCGCAGTTATTTATCCAAATCGACGTCATGAATAGACGTAAACGACGAGTTACAAAGGTATTTATGTGCCCTTTACAAAAATATATAATTTGTACAGATTGCGCTGCATAGCATCTACATTTCTAATCCGATTTTTATAATCTTTGGCTCAAAATTTACTTCTTTATTGAATTTTTAAACTAATGAAAAAAATTATCGAATAAAACTGCGTATTTGATTGAAAATCTAACTTTTTTCGACTTTGACGACAAAATGCAAATGGTCGCCTGTAGCACTAATAATTTTCATTGAAGTCGCCACAAGTTATATATTTTGGTAAGAGCTGTATGTCGCTTACGTTGGTTGGGAGATTTTTTCATGAGATATTGAAGAAAAGCTACGAAAAGTACCAAAAAACTCTTTTTTGAAAAAATCCATCCATTGTCCGATAATTTTAAAATAACGATTAAAATGCGGGACAAATACAGGACACCTGGAAAAAATCAGTAAATTTTCAGGTTTTTCAGGTTTGAAAAACTACGCAGGACCGACCTTTGAAAAACAGTACGGTCCTGCAAAAAACAGAACGGATGGTCACCGTAGTTATAATTGAACAGCCGAAACTTAACGTAACTTAATGCCACGCCGAAATCTGTTTCATTTTGATTCTCTAAGTTCTGCGTTCCGTTAAGTTAAGTTAACTTAAGTTGCCATAATCAGGCTTTTAGAATAGAGAAGTTAAACTGTACAAGTTAACAGCTTATATTCTTTTCAGCAAATAATTTTATTAGCTATCGTTGTTCTGGTTCCGTTGTAAGTCAATCGCACATCCTGACAGCTGCACACTGCGTCGTTAACCTAGTGAACGATCTGCGACTGTGAGTATACGTATCACTCCATATATAGTTGAATGAGAAATTTATGTAGCTTCATTCTAATTGAAATATTTCCTTAACAGCTCTCACGTGCGCATCGGTGGTGTGGCACTTTCCACTAATTGCACGGCCAGCACTTATTTTAGCAACTGCTTCATCGCTTCACGCACCTTTCAAATCGCCGAAGTGCGCGTGCATCCCAGCTATGATCAACCTAAGTACGCCAATGATATTGCATTGGTAAAAATCGTCGGCGAAGCGAATGGTATGTATGCTGCTATGTTGAACAGTTTCGGTTCTCTTCACATTTTATAACGGTTTTAATATCTTTTATGAGCATAGACTACACACCAATCTGCTTACCTCCAAATCTGTCTGCTTCTGTACGAGATCAGCTTATAGGCAGCCCGGGAATTGCACTCGGTTGGACAGCGGATATTGAAGGTGTGCTTTTCTTTTGCTTTGGTTTACTCTCTTTTTTGTGCACTTATTTTAGGATATGTTTAGAGCGAGAACGTCAAGTTGCCTTGATTGTCATTAATAGGCATAGATATCGGGTTTAATTTAACTTTAATTTGTATAATTAATTTTCTTTTTCTTTTCTTTTTTTTTGACGTAAAAAACATCGATTTTGTTGAATATAAATATCTAAGGAACATTTCAGGCAATGATACAAGTAGCCCAAGAGTACGTTACCTCAGCTTACCAATAGTGAATACAACTGAGTGCGCTATCACCTATGCGACATTCAGTGAGAACTTCAATGATCCTATAGTGATTACACCATCACAGTTATGTGCGCAGGGTGGGCCAATGAATGATGTCTGCCGAGGTGAGTAAAATGGAGAATTATTAAATTACCTAAATTAAATTTTAAAAGATGGGCATTACTAAAATATTTCAAGAGTAAATAAAAGCGAAACTTGCATACTGATTTGCCAAGGTGAAGGCAATATACATATCTATGGTCCTGTGCAATAACGACACAATTCAAAATTAATCAAATAAAAACTGGTACTAGTGTAAAGTGATTCTTGTCCCTAATCATTGTCCATTAGCGTATTTTCACGAATTCCAAATCGCGCAGCTCGAGGCCTATTCTCAATTTCAGTGAAAATTTATGTATGTACGGCTCCCAAAGTTTTCTTCTTCTTCTGGATTGCCGTTTTTTCGGTGCCAATTGACGCCAATTAAAGCCAAGTCCTCCTCCACTTGGTCTCTCGATTGTAGAGGAGTCCTTCCTATTCTTATGTTACTAGCATCTTCAGCATCAGATGAAAAAAAATACCAAACATGGTGATGCACTGTGGTCTGAAATAAAAAAGTAGGGTTTCTTTGAATATCCTTAAAACTAACTTCAAAACACTTGCTTATATTGCTACATATAAACAAATAAATACACAAAATTTTTCTTTTGATTTCATCATGGAAAATAATATAATTGGTTTTGAAGTCAACTGAATTTTTTATTTAAATGCAAAAACTTAGCCATAAACAAATTTTGTTTTTTTTTTTGCTTTCTTCGACAAAAAGAATTTGTTTAGAAAAAAACTTGTTTTTTTTTTTTTAATACGAATAAAAGAATTTGTTTATAATAATAAAAGGATTTATTTCATAGGAAAAATTGAATAGATTCTTTCCTTCTTAGTTGTAAAAAATTTAAAGTAAAATTCAAGTTTTGTTATTCTAAAAAACGAAAAAACGATTTATCTGTGTTTGTTTTAACACAGGTGACAGTGGTGGCCCGTTTATGGACGAGGGCTCTTCCGGTCTAATAAATTCAAGTGGGCGTCACTCTTTATTGGGTATTGTAGCTTTTGGACCAACTAAATGTGGAATGTCTAATATACCTGGAGTTTACACGCGCGTCAGTTCCTATTTGGGATGGATTATAGAAAGTATCAGCTTAAGTTAGCGTTAATTTAAATATAAGCCCCAAATATCATATATGTATGTACTTGTACAATATTTTTACTCTTAAGAATTAACATTCAATGTTAAGAACTAATTAGATATTTATTTTAGAATTAGCATATTTTTTTTTTTTTGTTAAATGATTATTTGTTGTCGCCCCTCGTGCGGATGGGCGGGAATGGAGGGTAAAAACCGTTGGGATATTATTATTAAAAAAAAAAAAAATCATATTATTCGTTTCCTACATTGCTGTTGCAAGGCCGTAGCCAATTAGAGTACATAGTAGACCAGTTGTAAATCTGAAGCTGTCTTCTGGAGGGTAACCAGTTCCATAGATCTTTTGTAGTTGGAACTTTCCAAAAGTTCTTTCGCCTGTCTTAGCCCAGGCCATGATGGTAGGAGGACCGACTGCGAGATAGGATTATGGTTGGGTAGCTGCTGCTTCCCTTGCTAGTCAGTTGACCTCTTCGTTGCCCTCTACGCCTTTGTGGCCCGGGATCTACAACAGTTGTGATGTGTTGTGCTCCTCCAGGAAGTCAGTTTTTCTTAACCACATCGTTCCTGGGAGATAGGAACATTGATTTTGATTCCTATCCCAGTCTGTTCGGAATCACCTTAACCTTGCCCTCTCTCATAAGGTTGAGTAGGGATTGCTTAGCAGTCTACGAATATGTGGGCAGCGGCGGGGCAAGTGCGCATAGCTGCCGTTATGCAGGTGCACACCTACCGCTGAAGCTGAAGAAATTTCTTCTCCTAGTAAAATGGATGATGGTTGTTTAGCCAGGGTCTTCTGTTGTTTTTGTTTTTTTTTACTGCCGTCTGTGCAAGTCTGGTTCGTTGCGTTGTTCCGATCCATCTACGAATAGAGGCGGCTGCGTTCCTCTTCTCTATGTCCATAGAACGGACCAGCATAATACATATGTAAGTAGTCGTTACAATATAAGTAATACAAGTTTTATCACAATTTGCAAATGTTATTAAAAATAAAATGTGTATATGTAAACAAAAAATATCATAAATTTTTCACAATAAAAAGCCATGAACATCGGTTGCAATTTCAGTGCTTCAAATCATATGTGAATTCATAGCTGATTGGTAATGCCAACCGTCAGGACTGAACACCTAGGACTTGTGTGTGTTAAATTCATTAAAAAAGTAAGGCGCAAGGTAAGTACTTTACGATGCATAAGTGATTTCATGTACGATTCAGCGGTGAAGCGAACTGAAGTGAATCCGTACGAAAATTTACGATCTTTGTCATTTTTAACATAGTTTAGATTAGTTTAAGAAAAAATTACATAAAAAGTTCACATCTGTGTCATGCATTGATTACTCATAGAAATTTACACTAACATATGCATGCATTTGCAACTGGCATCGTGCATGGTATTTCCGTTCCTTTATATTTCTTACTATGACAACATGTCTACTCTTTCGTGGCTCTCTTTGGATCTTAAAGTAATTATTCAAGATTTTGACGGCATTAATTTGATTTTGTTTAACGAATTGCCGCTCTGTAGCTGTTATCTTGAAAGTTGCAGCAAACAGCTGGGAAGAACCGAATATAGAGACACCCATACATACTTAAATACGACCATATAATGCATATGTACTAGGGATGTTACGAATGTCATATTTTTCACATTTCGCGAATGCGAATGCGAATTTTTGGAATAACATTAAAAAAAGCTATAATCACTTAAGTCATCTTTTTTATTACTTGAACATTTTGTAAATTATTAGAACACTGAAGGAGTGCTTAACTCATACATACGGTGACCATCCGTCCTGTATTATACGAGACAGTCCTCTTTTTCGCCAGTTGTCCTGGTTATATATTTATTTTATACGAGACGGCAACTGTTCTGTATTTCTTTTAATGTCCCTTATTTGTCCCGTATTGGGTACTTTGGTGTCTTAACAACTCATAAAAATGGCATTCCTATGATTCAGTTTTTATTTTTAAATCTGGACGTTTGTGATTCGAATCGCGGAGCACATATGTAGATGGTTTCTGAAGTTATAATTTTGCGTAGAAAAACTGGACGTTAATGACTGTAGTTCAAATTTCTTAAAGAAAATTTACTAATATTTAGATTTTCAAAGGTTTTTTCAACGCATTTAACGTTGAATATTCTGTGTGGAGCAAAGCACATTGAATAGGTAGCAGCAGTAGAGCCGCTGATTTTATTACTGTCGCGAATTTCGTCCTTAAATTGTCATTTTTGTTTAAATTTTCCTCTAAAAATTTACTATAAGGCCGGCTGCACTGAATAATTGCTCGACCCTATTAAGCTGGCATTTCGGGGTACTATTTTATATATATATAAGAAAAATTTGAAAGTTAGGGGGGGGGCTCAAGCACCCCCTCGCCCCTACCTGGCTACGCCCATGGCCAGATCTGTCAATTTGTCGTAGTTTAGTTTAATTTTCCACCAATCGAGAGGATTTTCACCGAGATGAGCTCACTTTTCTTTAATTTCACATTTTGAATGTCTCCAGATTCTACATCCGAGCCTTCGATTTCATTGAGTGAATATAAAATTATTTTTAGGGTGCTCTTAAGGCTTTTAGCGCCTGAAGCTAAAAGCCGGTTATTGTCCGCACCCTGGCTAGACAGATTTATTCTTATCTTATTCTTTATCGTCATTTCAACAATATTAGAGTGGACTCTCTGCCCATGTACACATTCGCATTCGCAAAAGATCTTTTGATGCGAATGTGTAAAATGATGCGAATCTTTCGCATAACGAATGCGAATGCAAATATTCGCAACATCCCTGATATGTACGAATGTACATACATACATACGTACATACATTACTAAACTCGAAAACTCTCATGGAATAACCGGTGCCGATAGCAAAGAGGAATAATTTGTTTAATATTGTAAATGGGTAACGAAGACCAACCAACAGCGGCTAACCGAATTGTGTGTGCGAACATTTGAGTATCGCATGTCGAGGAGAACTGAAATCGCGCTTTGTTCTACGTAGTATATTTAGTTAAGTTGAGATGAGATGCTGCTGATTACTGTGTGCGCGCATCAATAATTAGCAGGTCTCAGCCAAAGCGCCAGTCTAACACCAGCAGGCTTCTGACAAAAGTTAAAAAAAAATATATATATATATATATAAGTATATACATATGTATATATATAAAAATAATAACAAATAAATATTTCATACACATTTCGGATACTTATAATCCTACTATTATAATAAATACGTAGTTGTATGAAGACTCAGTCCTTGTTATAATTTTGTGAACTTGACTTTAATAGAGAATTATGACGATCCGGTTGTATATTTACGTATTTTTGGCGATTGCGACAACGGTTATACCACAATTTCTTGTGGCTGGTGAGTAAAAATTAGCTTATTATTTATTTAAATGAAACTTAAGTATATATGTTTATTCGGAAAAATCTTATCCCGGCTTTAGTTTATACGAAAATTTTATGTTAACGTATGTACATACATACGTATTCCATATCAAAATCATGTTCTTTTCGATTATAACGCATTGTTGCCTAATTTTTTTTTTGATGTATGTATGTATGTACATATGTCAATTTTTTCTAAAAACACAATTATAAAAATATTTGTTACAAACACACTTTAATATTGTGCAATAAATTCAGTATTTGCTAACTTGTAACAGTGTGAGGCAATAATTCTCAAATTCTCAATATTAATCTAAAGCATGCCTTTAATCTTATATGTATGTATATATTTACAAATTTATGTATATATAATAGGGCGCATCACCAAAAAAATCGCGGTTGTTCCACCGGAATTATAAAATTAATTACATTTTAAAACCCAAAATCATAAATAACAAAATCATAATCATAAATAATAAAGAACTGCTTTCAAGACGAATTTATGTAAGGTGGTGTTGTTAGAATAGCTGATTCAAAAGGCCTCGGTACACATATGTCAAAATTTGTTAAGAGTGAGTGAGAAAGGGAGATGTTGAAATTTTTCTTCCTCTTCTTCTTTGAGCAAAGAATAGCAGAAATGTGACATTTGTGTGCCGAAAGCAAAAACAAAATACATTTAAGCTTTTGTTATTGTACTACCGCGACCACCTTATAGGCCCGTTTACATACAACTTTGGCGTTGCGTTGGCGTTGGCGTTGGTTTGACAGAACGCACGTTAAAAGTATGCTTGCTACAATGAACGCTTGGCGGCGAATCCTTGGGCCACTAAATTAACATATTAACGACAGATAAATTAATATTTCATATCAATAATTGCATTAAAAACGATATTTCTTGCCCGCACTTGATTAAAAAGGAAAAATATTTCACATAATTTTATTTATTCGCAACAGCTGACGAGCGACGCACGCGAAAAGTTGAGAGTTGGCCATCTTTTTGCTTTGTGTTGGCGTGAGCGTTGTCGAATTTTGGCTATGTGGACGGCTGCATTTGAATTCATGTATTCATAGTCAGCTGTTGAAGCGACGCCAACGCCAACGCAACGCCAAAGTTCTATGTAAACGGGCCTTATATGAATTCCTGCTTTATATGTACATCGAAAATTTGCAAGAAAATATCACTTTGTGAAGCTCTTCAAAAATCTCATTATTTGGATTCCATAGATAAAATTTTTAAACATTTTTAACCAGAACTTTTAAGCATAAACTCTCTATCATCTGAGGTGAATTTCTAGAAAAAATATGAATATTTTTAAAAAGCCATAAACACCAAACAAAACGGAAAAATATATATTTGAAAAAACTAATTTAAATTATAAAAAACTCGATTTTTGAAGAGTTTCTAATACGTTCAGCTGACGTAAATCTTAATAACTTTCTGAAATATTTTGACGGAAGTCTTATGGCCTTATTCATAAAAAATAAAGTAGGTTTAAAGAGCTTTATAAAGTGACGTTTTCATACATTTTTCAGTTTATAAACGTTTTTTAAAGCTACTTTATTTTTTTATGAATAAGGCCATTAGAATATAGGCTGCATTTCTTTATTTATTCTGAACGTTTGGAATAAACTTTTTTGTTTACTTATTCTTTAGAACGTTCCTGATGATATGTTAACGTATATTCCAAACGCATTCTGTTTATTCCGGCTGTGAAATGTGATTATCCGGAATGTATAAAGAAACGCAGCCATAATAATTTTATAATTCCGATAAAGAAACAGTACCGATTTTTTTTTTGTATGCTTAGTGATGCGCCCTAATGTACATAAATACATGCATTTGTATGTATGTATATCCATACGCCAGATGTGTATTTTTTCTATTACAAATGTATAGTATACATATCTATGTGCATATGTACAACATATTTAAATTTAATCTATTTTGGTTTTAGTAACAAGCTATGGTTCCTGCTTTACTCCCAACCGCGTGGAAGCTAATTGTATTAACTTAGAAGATTGTCGCTTTCTTTTCGAATTAGTACAAGATCCCAATCTTTCACAAAACGATCGCGCATACTTGCGTAGCAGTCAATGCGGATATCGTAATCGTAAAGTATTGGTAAGTTATGCCGCTAATCGCTAATACAACTTTAATACTCGTACATCCTCATTACCAAGTAAGTAAATCTATACTAATCTATGCAGATATGCTGCCCCCCCTCAATATCTCACACAAAGTGCCACTACGCCTGCGCCGCCCTTGCCGCCAGTCACTCCCGCACCCGCACCCGCACGTGCACCTGTCCCAGTCCACGCATCGCCAGCTGCCGTGCTGTTTCCGCAATCTAGCGGTGCAGCACCAGCAAGACGCCCAGCGAATAGCCTAAGCAGTGGCATCGTCAGTGGCGGCAGCAGCATTGCTTCTTCGCTACCTCAATTTCCTCAATGTGGCAATGTGCTTGACAACCGTATTTATGGTGGCACCGAGACAGCGATTGATGAATTTCCTTGGACCGCCTTGATTGAGTACACGAAACGTAAGTGAATGCTAAATATGCAGTTACATTTGCCAACATAAATTTCTTATTTTTCTTGCTTTTACCAACAGCTGACGGTGTAAAGGGGCACTATTGCGGTGGCGCTTTGATTAGTGACCGCTATGTGGTAACAGCGGCTCATTGTGTTAAACCTAGTGATCTCCCTGCTAGTTGGTCCTTGACTGGCGTTCGTTTGGGCGAATGGGACACTCGCACTGATCCCGATTGCAACAAAGAGGGTTGCGCGCCAACTCATAAAGATATTACCATTGCACAGAGTATGCCACATCCGGATTATGCGAATCACAATGATCCCAATGACATTGCATTATTACGTCTTAACGAGTCCGTACGATTCACAGATTTTGTTAAACCAATTTGCTTACCCATCACCCAAAATTTACGCATGGACACTTTTGTCAATACTGCAATGGATGTAGCCGGTTGGGGTTCAACGGAAAAGAGTCAAAGTAGTCCCGTTAAGTTGAAGGCCACATTAAAGGTTAAGGATTTAGATGTATGTCGTCAGAAGTATGCGCAATTGAATGGCATACGATTGGATCCGACGCAGTTGTGTGCGGGTGGTGAGTCGGGAATCGATACATGCCGTGGTGATTCGGGTGGCCCTCTGATGTTTCAGGACGATGTAAATGGTAAAGCGGCTTACTATCTAATTGGTGTTGTATCGTATGGTCCAACACCGTGCGGTTTAAGTGGTTGGCCAGCGATATACACTAGAGTTGGCGCTTTTGTAGACTGGATTGAAAGAACAATGCACGCATAGAGATACGCGAGTATCTAAGTACATATTTTGAAATAAAGTTGTTACCCAAAGCTATGCAAATGTATGTAAGAGTTTTCCAAAATATTAAAAAAAAAAACTTTCAAGGGATAATTAAAAAGTGTTTATTCCATTTTGAAACATAATTAGGTCATACAAATAATCTTTGACTTTGGACGGTGAGTAGAATCTATGTACGTCCATGAAAAAATAATTTGGGTTCAATAGATATGAGCAACTAGATTAAAAGTCTTCATTTTATTGTTTATTCGTATATAAGAAATGGTTTTGAACCTACATATAATCGCAGCACAATCTTAGATATGTCCAAAAGAAAAATAATAGTCGTGTCTTCTAAAGAGATTCCTTACTTACCGATGTACTAAAAAATCCATCTGTCTTCGGATGCATACATACATTAAGTTTGTTCTCATCCCGTGTTTTTTTTTTTGGAATCTTCCATCCTATTATATTTAATAACCGACCAAACGCTTAGAGCGTCGCAGAGTTATTAACTCAAAGACAGCTGTAAACTAAGGCATTCATTATTTTGTTCATTTAATACCCTGTACCTTTCGATATTTCTAGCGTTTTGACTTTGTTTTTATAGTTTTAATTAATTGCTGCAGAAATTATGTACGTATATATGTACATTAGGGTGCATCGTTATCCATATAAAAAAATCGGTACTGTTTTACAAAATAATTATAATAATAGATTGGCGCTTACACATATCTTAGTGTTTGGCCGAGCTTCTCCTCCGATTTGTAGCGTGCGCCTTGAAGTCATCACACAAATGGGAGGGACCTACAATTTTTCGCCGACTCCGAACGGTGATTGTATTTTTATGAGAAGCTGTTTTTCATCGCAGAAATAATCTCGGAGGTTTGCCATTGCCTGCCGAGGGGCGACCGCTGTTAAGAAAAACCCTTTTTTCTATATTTTTTGCGATGTTGCTTTGAACAGGGATTGAACCCAGGCCCTGCGGGGTGGAAGCGCGCGCTGCTTACCACTACACCACAGCGGACGTCGAAATTATAAAATTCATTTATTGTATTTAAGACTTGGGCCAAAATATTTCGAAAAATTATTAAGATGGACGTGTTTGAACACAACTAAAAAATTAAGTTCTTTAAAAAATAACATTAGTTTTTAAAAATATTTTTTCCAAATAAAATTACCTCAAATGGTGAAAGAGTTGAGGCTTAAAAAGTCTGCTTAAAAATGTTTGAATTATTTTATCAACGACTTAAAAATAATTAGATTTTTTCAGGTATTTTTATTTTTCCAAAAAAATCACCTCAAATGATGTAAGAGTTTACGCTTAAAAAGTCTGCATAAAAATGTTAACAAAAATTTATCAACGAAATCAATATAGTTTTTGAGGTATTTTTAATTTGGTTTAAGCTTTCGTGAACATTTAATATTTTTCGGAAAATTTTGACGAAAGTCTTAAAATATAATAAGTTTTATAAGTCCAGTGGAAAAACCGCAACTTTTATTGGAGGCATCCTAATGTATATACATGCATACACATATTTATACAATGTAATTGGGGGACAGGTTTTCCTCTTTCCAGCATAGTTGTGTCATTCACTTAGATATTTAGGGGATTCACAAGATGTGGCAAGCGTCGTAATATCTTAAAGTCGTAAATTTGATTTTTAGTCGATTTTTAACTACGCAAAAATCTGTTTAAGCTGATAAAAAGAAACAATAATTAACTCCAATTACACCAGTTAATCCAGTAAAAGCATTTCAGCCGCTATTTCTTATAAAAAATTCCACTTTTAAGCACTACGCCGCTTACATCTTGTGAATTCCCTAGCTGTAAATTTAAATGTTAAAAATTGCATCATTTACCTTCAAAAAGTATTAAGGGTAATCACAATTCGGTGTATATGGTTTTGTATATTTCGATGCATTTTCAAATTCACAACAATAAAATGCAAACGGTTGCTATGATAACTAGCAAGCATAATATTATAGTAGCTGATTAGAAGAAAAATGTGTAAGTACTTTTGGCTATCTTAATCGAGTGGTTAGAGGTGCTTACTACACCGTGCGACAAAAACCTAAAAATTTCAAAAGGCACGTAACAGCCAATGTATTCACGAAGATATGAGCAAAATAAAGTAAAGCTGCGTTTTGGCTTCTCTCTGATGTCACGATTTTTTTTAAAAGCACTTTGAAATTTCAAAGATAAGATTAATTTAAAAAATATTTTAAAAATTTAGTGCAATGTAGAATGACAACATATGTGTTACCGGCCAAACCCGATCTTAGGACAAACTAGTTTTTAGTTCTACCTGGATCCAAGTTGGACGCGACAATATTGTGGACTGCGTACCTGGAGTTGGACTGATGAGGGTTATTTTTCCGGAAGTGCGGCCGAAGGCCGTCTACGCGGAAAGGTGTTCTGCGCAAAAATACTGTGGCCCCTGATCTAGTTTAGCCTAGGCAAAACTAGTTTGTCCTAAGATCGGGTTTGCCGTTAACATATGCACCAAATGAAAGAGAAAATTCTGTAGAACAAAAAAAAAATGGCTTTTTGGTTCACAAGGCGAATAGGTATTGGAAAACGTCTCTTTAATTATGTACAGTTTTATGAGAAAATAAAGTTAGAAGGATGAAATACTAGGATGTGGTCATGTGGATATTAGTACTTAAGTAAGTGTTGCAAATTTAGTAGGATATTCAAGGAAAAAATTTTAAAAGGACATTTTCCTATTACCTATTTGCTCTTACATAACAAAAATTATCCATTTTATTTGCTACCCAAATAACTTTTTGAATTAATCATATTGCTAGCTTAAAGTGAAAAGTTGCGAAGTACACTTTTTATTGAAAAATCATTTTTGGATATAGGAAGCAAGAGATACTAAAAATTAATCTTTTCGAAAATGATTAGGGTACTTGTTTCACTTTTTTCTCGTTTATATTCAATGTTAGGCAAATTTGCTAAGTCCAAAAGAGGCACCGAAAATCCGACAAAACCAAAATAATACGACATCTTTTAATAAAAATCTATTGCTTCTTATTCGTATGGAGTTTTGCTTTGCTTTAAACAAGCAAAATGTTGAATTCCAGCAATCCAGAGTTACCTTAGATATGCATTTCAGCGCAAATTTTTGACACAACTTTTGGGACTGGTGTCATATGTTCTTTTGCCGAGAATTCGCCTGGGCTGGTTCCTCTCACGAGTGTTACTCCGTTTCCCTTGGTCTTAAAAGAGAGTAGAAATGTGATAAAATTTGTCTCCTTCCTATCTGTAAATAAATTTTAAGAAGAGATCCAATCACAACACCTACCATTCCCTTAAATACGGGTCCAAGATGAGACAAGGTGCGGAAAGTGCTGTATTTTGTGCGTTGCAGATGTTTGAACAACCACATATGCTCCTGGATACTACTACAGCATTTTCTAAACCGAGATCTATGCTGCAACTAAGGCAGTTGAGTCGGGCAATATAAATCACGTGCAAGGCAGTAAAGGAGGCTATAATTACAAACTCGCTTTGTATCAGACAATTCATGAATAGGATATATGAATTCTATGCCAGGAACTATGCCGGCCGTATAACCCTCCTTCAACTACTTAAGGGTAGAATTAGACAATACAGTGGCATTGAACACGAAATCCAACTTGCAGGACAGTCAAGATAATGCTTCGTTCTTGCGTTTCTAGCACTTCCCAGAGTAAATTGCAAGATACTAGTTGGGATACGTACTTACGGGACACTGTCTCACACCATCTCGTGCATTTAAGTTAGGTCTGCCACAGAGTAAAGAATTCATGGCATGTGATGATAGTAACTCCAAAATTACTGTCTGTGTAACTATCCAGATTTTGGAAGATCGTGTCTCAGTTGCTGTCGCTCTGCTTTCGTTTAATAAACGAAGGAAATAGCAGCCTAAAGCAATAGCGAATTCTCAAAACTTGCTCAAAAATTCGTAATAGCGAAGATTTAAGCCTAGGCATCCACTTTCTTGTTAACACCAGGGGCCAATTAATGGTCTATATGAGATCACTGTTCAGACAAGCCAGCCTATCCTCATCTATAACTCAGTTTTAGGTGCAGTAATGATACTACGTACTTTGACACATTCGTTTCGAGTATTATCCTGTCCTCTTTGACAACTTTAGTACGGCATGCGTACTAGTTGTTGTTGGTCGAAATATTGTTTTACGGCATAAGTTGTAATGGCTTCCTCTTTTACGTTTTGGGCACAGAATTGGAAAAATTGTAAAATCGGTAAAGTTTGCAAGGAGGCAAATTAACGAAATATGTATGTATGTATATTCGTTGACCGGTATAATAAAGATAAAGATGAGTGTTTAAAAAAGCAGCGTCGGGCAGTAATTGATAGGGAAGCCTTGAGAAAAATGAACTTCGATGCCTTAAACGCACATTTATCAGCTCACAATTGTGTAGCGTCCTCGTGTTTTTTTTTTTTTTTTTTTTGACTCGTGATAAGAGCAATCTACTCTACCAATATTTACTTAAATCTCCGCATTACATCTGAAAGAGAAACAAGCTGAGCGCCTTCTCTTAAAACATAGTTAATTGATGTGCCAAGTAAATAACAGCAAATACTAATTATTTTGAGAATTTCACTAAAACCAAGCTTAAGCAAAGAAATATTACGCAAACTGTGTTCGGAGAGGGAAATTTCAAAGCGTGACTCAAAAGATTTTTGCGTAGACATATGAAGAAGCAGCATCTTCTCCAGCTCTCAGTTGCCTTTGCGACGTGAAACGATACTTGTCGTAAGTCTAAGTTATAATAAGACAGCGGAAAGTTGAATTTGCTGCTAGCTCGCTGTTATTTCGCAGTTAGTCGTCAAAAAAAAAGAAAAAAAACACAAATCACAATCAAAAACGAAAAATACTCGTAAATACATACATACATATCTCTGTCATCAATACGGATTGCGTTGTTAAAAAAAAATAAAAAAAATTAAATAAATAAATTATTAATTAATGCAAATGCTAAACGTGTTCCGATCATCAGCCGCTGAGGTAATTGTACTGATTCGTTGGAAGTGAATTTGCGAAATTTGACTACAGTGAAATTACTATTGAAACAAAATTAA